TGGATAAGTATTTAATAAATATATAAAGTTCGAAGAGATTTAGGCTTAGGCGGACGTACCTCCATCATTTCCAGCTTTTCTGGATAGGCCAAATCACCCGTTGATGGATTATAGTTTTGTATATCGGACTGCAAATACAAATGTGCACGGAATACCAAACGCTCTTGCACGTCCTGCAGCAGCTGATTAGCTATGGTAGCAAAGGCTTCCAGTCCACTGGCTGTAATGTGTATATAGAATAATGAAAATTAAAGAAAAATTCATTCATCACTTACGATTTTGTTGCACATGCTCCTCAAGCATTTCAATGCGCAAGATGGAGCAGATCTCAGCAAGCGTTTCCAAGTGATTGATGTGGATAATAAAAGGACGCAAGGTATCATAGAGAATTGTGCACAAACCCTCCAAATAAACGCTGCAGACAAGAATATGTAATATAAGTGAGTGAATTCAATTGTTATTGCTAGTGGAACTCACGTTAGATGCGTTGCGCCTGTGCCGAAGAACTGATAATACAAACGCTGCTCATCTTGGCAGACGTGGACGAGAAATGCACATGCGCTGCGTGTTAGCGAACAATGATCGCCCTTGTGGGCGTTCTTTACATTTTGTATAGATTGGTTGACAGCTGGTGACATGACACTTGCACGCTGTGCCAAGTAATGCTGTTGCAAATCTGTCATTAGCTGGCTATAGTCGCTGCTGTTGCTCTGCTCCAACCGTGACTCGATGAGTTGTGCCACACGCTTCACTTTTGCGGCAGCTGATTGATATTTGCCATAGTAAAGGGCGAACGCAGCATCGGGTGCTTGCAGCGAGGCATCGTTACTGTTATTGCGTGGATGTAAAGTCGCCTCCGTCGCTTGGTTGATGACATTTACAACATAGTTACGCACCAGAGTCGTCGCCTTTCCTAGGCACTGCTTATACTTCACATTGTAGGCAGTTGCATCCTTGAAGTTAGGCTACAACACAATCACAATTATTGCTTGGGCGAATAAACTAGGAGAGGAGTCTACTTACATGCTCTGCTAGATAATTCAGACATTCATCGATTTTGTTGAGACATTCGCGGAATGCTTCGCTCGCCACGGACAAAGTAGGACTTTGCAGGCGCTGATTGAGCAACTCCACTTGGCTGAAGAAATGTAAACGTCGCTGAATTTCGTTGCTGAGCTCTTGAAGCTTTTGCTGTTCGTCAATCAACTGCTCGCTGGCCATGTTCAGAGCGCTAGTTTTTTGCGAGACAAACTCGTACTCCGCACTCAACGCACTCAGTCTATCCATGGCCACAGAGATTTGCTCGAGCATGTGAGCACATTCCGCCTTGCGTTGCTGCAACTGCTGCAAATACTTGTGGTAGTTTGCATCGCCACGTAGCTCGATCTCCGCGTTGACGTTTACAAACCAGAGCAGAAAATCACTCATATTCTGCAGACCGTCTGGGGGCAGCTGCTTTTCCACTTCGGTCCTATCCTCCACTGCGGTGTATACTTCGGTGCGTGTGTACCCCGATGTCACCTGTCAGTGAATAAGTTATAAAGTCAATACCCATAAATTTGTTTTGGCCTGCGTGTCTAATGGATTTGCAGCTACCATCATTTCCTCGTCGTTCCACAAATTGGTGAGCACTTCCAAATGTTCTTCCTGCTGTGCGCTGAGCGCTGCCAGTGGATCGCTCTGGGACTCCCATTTCATCAAACGATTACGAATTTTACGCAAATTTTCATTTTCGCTTTGCGCGCTGGCGACGTCATCCATTTTCCTCTTGTAATCAACGTCGAAGTAAATAAACAGCTGTTCGTTCGGCTTAGTTATTGATCAGCTGTTCGTATGTACACACTGTCGATAACACTGATGGCACAAATAATGAAGTGGTGCTTACACACTGTACGCTTATCGAAAAAGCATCGAGTTTGTTGATCCGGCTGCAGTTTTGTAGGCGTTGTTCTTTTATTATTATTATTATTTATTTTGTACGTGATGGCCCCGCAGCCAGTGGTAACGGGACTATCACCTAAGGAAGGTCCGCCTGGTACCCGCGTCATCATACGTGGCGAGTTTCTGGGGTGTCGTGCGCAGGATCTCATTGGTAAATAAAACATTGCTCATCAGCGTTTGTTTCTTTTTCTCATACTATTTCAACGCATATTCAGGTCTTAAAATCTGTGGATCCGACTGTCTGCTGTCGGCAGAGTGGAAATCGCCTAATAAAATTATTGCACGCACTGGCCCAGCCAAGGGAAAAGGTGATATTATTGTCACTACCATCAGCGGAGGCGTGGGCACATCTACGGTTCAATTCCGAGCATACCATGAAACGATTGGACCCCTCAAGGAGTCGGCTGTATGGATAGAGGAATCGCCATCGCAAAACTTTGCCTGGGGTCGACGCACTCTTACCCAATCGGGTCTGACCCAGGAAGATCCTTTGGGACTCTCCATTGAGGGGAATGAACAAAAAATTCCAGAAGATTTACGCGATTTGTTTCCCGATGCTTGTGGTGATTTGTCTCAGGAAAATTTCTCACCCGCTTGGTTTTTGCTCGAGAATCATCTGGCCACTTCGTTTGAGGACTTAAAGGCGGGCCTGTCATACTTAAAGCGTAAGGTCGAGAGCCAGAAAGAGGGACAACTCTCTTTTTTGAAATCTAACGCGGGCTCGGTAATCGATCAGCTGGACACCCTAATGAATATACGCGATAAATTCCAAGAGGATGTCAAACTGTACGGAAAAGAACCTTTTCAAGTACTCGAGCAGTCCATTGAGAGTGAGTAGTTAATCTTTATAATAATCTTCTATATATCTATTTCTACTTATCGTTTGCAGACTCCATCAGTGAATCTCAAAAGATTTTCAATGATGTGCTCGTGCGGAAGGAGAAGGCAGACTCCACACGGTCGGTACTCTTCGCTCTGTCGCGTCACAAGTTTCTGTTCTGTTTGCCCAACAGTGTGGATCGGCGAGCCAAGGCTGGGGAATATGACATTGTGGTCAATGACTATTCGCGTGCCAAGAATCTGTTTGGGAAAACGGAACTGGCCATTTTCCGTCAAGTGCTCGAGGAAGTGGATCAGCGTATTTTATTGATCCGTAGACAACTGCACGAGAAGGTGGTAAAGATGCCGCAGAGCGTAGAGCAGCAAAAGAAGTTAATCAAGGCGCTTACTAGCCTCGAAATGCAGCAGAGCGGCACAGCAATTGGCGACCGGTTGCGCAATACGGATCCCGCCTGGGATGCCATCGAGGCACGTGCCAAGTACTTGGAATCCACATTCCGTCAGACCTTTGACCAATATGCTACTAAAGATGCAGCGACACAGGAGAAGGCCAAGAGCCGCGATCCCAATCAGCCGCCAAATCGTGTGAACTTTTGCGAGGAGCTCTGCGACATAGCCGCCTCCCAGCTACCCGATCTGTGGCGCCTGGGCCAGCTGTATTTCACGGGCGAATTACGTGGACCGCATGATCCCAAGCCGGGCGACTTTAAGCGCATGGTCTTAACAGCGATCGAGAAGTTTTGTATCTATCTCCGCTTGACCATTCTCATTGCTGCAGATCAGCGTGCTCTGCGGCAGTCGAGCGGCCTATCCTGGCCAATTGGCTCCTCGTCGGCCACGCACCATTTCTTGCCGTGGATTCCGCAATGTTTGCGTTACACGCGCATTGCTTATGCCACGCTGATTGGACTGGATCTGCCCTCGGATGCACTGGATATCATACAGAAGCTCATTGATGAAGTGCGTCTGTTTTGCTTCTCCATCATATTTAAACGAGCCACCGATCGTTGCAAGAAGTTAGGCGCACAGGAAACATGGGAAACGACCGTAGAGGATTATCCGGGTGCGACGCAACTGCCCGCTGCACTGGAAGCACTGCTGGTGGAAACTCTAGAGGAGGTGCAGTCCGTATGCATGCAGCCAGAGGTGCGTGAGGGTAATCTGCTCGAGCCCCATTCGGATGGACAGCGTGAAGTGACCCAACGCTTGCAAGAGCTGCTGTCCACTTTCAGCGGCGTTATTGCCGAACTGGCTTATCCCTCGCATGACGATGAGACGCCCACGCATAATGTATCGCAGCTGCTGGGCTTTCCCAATGCCCAGCAACCGGAGTCGGTGTCTGGTGGTGGCAGTGGTAGTGGTGGAGGCGCTGCTCTCAACTGGGAGCAACGCATGCTCTGCTGCCTGGCCAACTACGCGTATTGCAACAAGAGTTTCTTTGCGCACATTGGCGACATCTTTGTGCGCCATGGCTATCCACTGCCCACGCTGGCTATTGAGACGGCTCGCTACAATGCCAATCAATTGTTTACCAATCTGCTGGAGGAGTATGTGGAGCATAAGGGTGATCCATTGGTGGGCACCATCGAACCGTCCATGTACCTGGGTCGCTTTCAATGGGATCACGAGATGGAAATTGGCCTGGGCCAATTGCGTCCGTATGCGCACGAATGCTTGGACAATCTAGTGGGTGTCTACTCCGAGATCTACAGCATCTCGCCCGCGCTGCTGCGTCCTATACTGGAGTCCATTGTGCAGACTATATCGGAGGAGCTTGCTCGCCTTATGAGTTGTGTCCAGCATTTCAGCTACACGGGCGCCATTCAGGCACATGTGGATATACGACTGCTGCGCGATGGCCTCGAGAACTATGCCAATGAGACAGCCAAGTGAGCTAAATTCTATTCATATGCTTATCTAAGTATTTACTTTAATAACTCCATCTATCATTCTATCCATAGAAACTACTTTATGGAGGCCTTGGAGGCCATTAGTCCGCCCCTCAATGGCGAACAGAAGCGCAAAGCGGATGAGATTTTGGAACGTGTCAAACGGAATATGCGCCTGCAACTGCTTTGCTTTGCTGTCAAGGAGCCCTGAGCACATTTCCTCTCCACAATTTAGTTATATATATCAACTATTTATCATTTGCGATTTTCTGAACAATTACTTTGCGAAAACTTTCTATTATAATTTTATATAATTGATTCGAGTTTCCATTTGCTAGAGTAACTGTATTTGAATGTATTTAATTAGCAAAGTAATGCTTACATTGCAGAGTAAAACTCTTAAGATTTACATATATAAAAGAAAGCTTTACAAAAAACAATTAATTAGTTAAATTGCAAATTATCTAGCTTGTATTCGTAGATGAAATTCAAGCCATCTTTCTTGTATTTCTCCAAGGCCACCTTGAGCACCTGCTCCACATCGATGGCATTGAATTTCTCTTGGACACGCTGCTTAATGGGATTCTCGATGGCATCCATGATCTGGTAGCGCAACAGATTGGGCAGCACATTGACAACAAACTCCATGGCATAGTCCAGAGTGCCGGCTCCATCGCAGCGCACCTGAATATTGCCCATGTCGAATTGAAGATCGTTGATCTGTGGTCGCTTGCGTGTGTCCAATGGCTGGCTGATCTCCACCGTAGCACGGATATGCTGCACGGTGAACTGAACATGACCCACTCGAGTCATCAGGCCAAATCCAACCTCCCATTGCCCAGCTCCGGTGATCTGTTGTGTGCCCAACTGCATGCGCATCGATATGGTGTTGTTGTACATGGCGGCAGTTACATTGCCCACCCGATAGAAACTCGAACAGCCCGTAATCCAAGTGTTGGTGAGCTGTACACTAAAGACGCCCATGGTGCGATTCTTGTCTTCCAAGCGATACGGATCGTAGCCCTTCTCTCTGACCATTTTGCGTAGGCCAGCAATGGCGCTGTCCAGTGGGGTTATCGAATTGGGCATGCGGCGATCTCCCATGAATTTCTCAATCCTTGTATTGATCTCACCGCGCATCTGCTTGTCCGCCTCCTGCAGCATAAAGGGTTTCATGGCATCGAATACCAAATTGGGGGCTGAATTGATGATGCCCTGGAAGACGCTGCCCAAGAAGCCAAGATTCTGGAAATCCATAGCCATCTCACCAAAGGTAATGTCCATATCAATGTGCTCCGTGGTCAGATGGCCATCGCGCTCCACCCCGAGCGTCACCGAGCAACGGACATAGACCTTCTTCAGGATGACGGTGAACGGTCCGTTGGCCTTAGAGAAGAAGGAGCTGAGTATATAGTTGCCCTTGACCAGCATTTGGTCCAGCTGTATGCCTGCCTCTGCCTGCAATAAATCAGATGGAAAGGATTACGATCAGATTGAGCTTATTCCCTTGTCACTTGCCTTCATCTTCTTGAAGTCCACATCGACGGTGGATATGCGAAATTTGGACAGGCCGTAGGCTTTCACTTTCAACATGTTCAGATTAGCCATGCCCAGACTCTTGGCCATATCGGGCACATCCATTGGATCCGGTATGGGTGCACCTGGCACTCCAACTGGATCCTCCTGCTTATAATGCTCCAGCAGACCTTCGATTTGTGCGGCCACGCGATTTTGGGCTGCCTCAATATTGTGCGCCTCATCGTTCTCATCGTTAGCCTCAGCTGCGGGTGACAAGGTTCAACTGAACTTGATAGATAACTATGAACTTAAATTAAACTTATTTGCACAGCTGCTCACCATCTTCATCCTGCGCACGCACGCTGCCCAGGATTAGGTATGCTACGAGAAAAACTATCAGCACTTTCATCTTTGTGCGATTTTGACTATATTAATCTCTGCTTATCAGTTGAGGAACTAAAACAACAACAACAACAACAACACACACACACACTGGATGACGGATGCGCACTTGCTGCTGCCTCCACTCGGACTCGAAGTCGAACTGACGACTGTCCGCTGCGTTAATCAAGAGATAATGATGAGCACAGTAGCAGCAGCCGTCGCGCTTATCAAAGGGCACGGCTAATGTTGAGCTAAACCGAATTTGAGTCAAGCTCGATGCTGTTGACTCTGCTCCCCCTTCTGAATCTGGGAATTGAGTGAGCGCGTGGCTGAGCCATTCAATTTGAGCAGCATCGCATCGAGAAGTTTATATAAATTCCATGGCATTGCATTTGCATATACTGCTAACGAGCTATAGCTGCTACAAATTCTACAAATAATATGGTATTATGGTTATGATATAATTTTATTTTTTGTTTTTTACATATATTATAAGCCATATTCTTTGAAGAAGTTGTCGTTATATAACGAATGCGCAGTCTAAACGAGCTAGCTTCTTGGTTAAATTCAGAGATAAGTCTTATGACAAAGCTATATCGAATTGGCACAATATGAAATAACATCTATTTTTCAATTCATAATTTAGCAATAAGTCTGAAACTTCTTTTGTTAAACGATTTAAATTGACAATTGACAATTTACATCTTTTACAGCACCCAACTGATTTAACAATTTGTTTTCATTCAAATTTAAGTTTTAGTTTCATTTTTATTGTTCAATTTGCATTTACATTTTTTGCAATTAGGATTTTAAATTCAATTCATACACAATCTTAAAATAATAATAAAAAAAAAAAGTTTTCACGTGCTCAAAAAAAAGGGGGTCTCGTGCTAAAAAAAAAGGTTTAAATATGTTTCGTGCTCAAAAAAATTTGCTTAAAGATATGAAAAAAAAAAAATCGCCTTAAACTAATGACAAACTTTGAGCTTAAAACTATGAAAAAAAATTGTCTTATAGCTATACAAAAAAATTTTATTAGATCTATGAAAAAAATTGCCTTACAAACTATGAAAAAAAAATTGTTTAATAATTATTATTGGTATTAGACTTTGACTAATTGTTACAATTCGTTGAACGAGTAATTAATACAAATTGCTTTGCTTTCCGTTTCCTTCAGTTCGTGCAGACGTATGAGCCCTGCACTGCGGCGCCCGACTTAAGCGTAAAAAAGATTATCAAGCTATTTTGCTTGTTATGTACGTAAACATACATATATATCACTTAGGGATAGATAAGGATCAAATCAAATACAAAAGGAATTACATTGGATAAAATATAAATAATTTCAGTTGCTCACTCAACGTCTTCAAGTGTGATGATCTTAACAGATCTGTGTAGATGAGTGAATGTGAATTTCTTGAGCTGCTGGTTAAACCAGCTAATCAACGTGAATAAAACAAGCATAAAATGTGTAAGATACGATTGTGCATTGAAAATAAGAGCTGAAATAAAATAAGATGAGATGAGGGGATGAGCGCTTAAGTCGATTGCAACCGACCAGAGAAATGGTTTGTCCTGTACCTGAATCGGATTTAGGTATCATAAATATATATACAAATAGTGGTATATATCGGTCCACAGGTACAGGACACACATACATGAAGAGACACGCACAGTTCTACCTACGTACAAATATTTACAACATACACAACTAAACGAACATGATGGCAACTATAAAACGAGGACCATGTACAAATTGCGAGGCCGGTTAGCCCGTCTACTACACTGATTGCTTACAAATCCGAGAAGATACGCTCCAAAATGGCCTCATCCTTGTCACCGTCCATACTGCCGTCGCCAGCAGCAGCATTACCAGCGCTGACAAGCATATCGGCCGACTTTCTGAGCACATTACGTTCCATATCTAACCTCTTGCGGAAGCTCTTGAATCTCTTAGCCGGGCGCTCCATTGTGGGTGATGGTGGTGGATCTGGCTCCGTTGTGGCTGTCGTTGGCTCCACCGTCGGCGGTGGCATTATATAAGCAAATTCAGGTATTGATGAATTCCCATCATTGCTACGCAACGGTACGCGCTGAAAACCAAGCGTGGCCGGATCGACGGGCTCACTGCCATTGAATATGTTGAAGCCTGCCGTGGAAGATCAAGAGAAATTATTCACTGAATATTTGCAAAGGCCAAGGGAAACTATACTCGAGCCTCTAACATACCCTGGTATTGACCATTCTCGTTTTGCATGAGGACCAGCGGATGCTGCGATTGCTGTAGATTGTCAAGGGGCACTAACGTGAAGCCTGATTGCATGTCAGTTGATGCTGGAGTGGGTTCCTCAACGGGCTCCTCAGCGGGCTCCTCGGCTGGTGCCACCTCTGTTTCTATATCCATGTTAAAGTCCTCCTCATCACTCGTATCAGTTGCATCCTGATGTGGATTCTTGCAGCCAATGCATTTGCAATCCACACACGATTTGCCAGCCACATAGCAAGTGCAGCGCGAATTGCGACAGGTCGCCTTACCAGGTGCCGATGTGGTGCCACAGCGACAGATGTGTGACATGCGCGCATCCTTGGGCTTGGGCTTATGGACTATCGCTTTTGGCGTGGATGTGTGTGGCATGGTCGCCATTTTAGCGGTAGCTGCAGGAGTTTTTGCAACGACTGACGCAGCCACAGGAAGTGCAGCTTTGGCAGCGGTTGCAATATGAGTTGCTGCAGCTGGCTTGGGAGCAGACTTGGCGACAGGTTTGGCAGGAGGCTTCGGAGCAGCCTTGGCAACAGGCTTGGTAGCAGTCATCGGAGCAGGCTTCGGAGCAGCCTTGACAACAGTCGTCGCAACAGGCTTAGGAGCTGATGGAACTATAACTTTCGAAGCTGGAGCTGCAGTGATTGGAGCCGGAACTGCAGCGATTGGAGCTGGAATTGCAGCTATTGGAGCAGGAACTGCAGCTATTGAAGCTGGAGTTGTAGCTATTGGAGCTGGAACTATAGCCATTGAAGGTGGAACTGCAGATATAGGAACTGCAGCTACTGGAACTGGAGCTAGAGACGCTGGAACTGCAGATACTTGAGTTGGAACGGCAGCCATTGGAACTGCAGCTACTGGAACTGGAGCTGTAGCTGGATCTGTAGCTATTGGAGCAGCTGCTAGTGTCCTTATGGGTGATCCTGTTGCTGTTGGCGGCTTAACCTGAACCGACGAGATTATGGTGGGTTTCTTATTACGGAAATTTGTGAGCGTGCTCGTGGGCGCAACGGCTTTAGTGCTTGGCAACATATCCTCGTCCTCCACATGGTCGAGCAGCATTTGTGCACGACGCCGTTTTATGGAGCCACTGACATTCACTGACTTAAAAGCAGTCGCCTTGGAGGTGCTGGCGACAATTGGCTCGTCTGGCTCAACTGTTTCCATAGGTTCAACTGTTGCGACTTCTGCGAGCTGCTCCTCTTGTGACAGTTGCTCTTGTTGTGATAGCTGATCCTGCTCTGATAGCTGCTCCTGATGCGATAGCTGCACTACCTGACCAATGGGGGCCATATGCACCTCGCCATTCGGCATTACATAGGTTGTATAGTTGGACGTGCTGTTGACATAATCCGCAGGTATCGTAAAAGCTCCCGATAGATCCACTTGATCCGACCACGGCGATTCGATGTAACCGGCTGGCAACATTGGTTCATCCGCGGGAACGAGCACTTGCTGGGGCTGGGGTGCAATGTGAGTGTGTGTCAACATTCGTGCTCCGGATGTCATCATGGGCAATGGATGAGCATACTGCGCCTGCTCCCCAGTTGCAGCTGCCTCCAGCTCAATGTCCGTAATGGACAACTGATTCGGCATATGCTGCTCGTACGGCAGCTCAGGAGTGGTGGCCGCTGTCGTTGGAGGCGTCTCCGCTGGCAACGATGACGGAGCATTTGCAAGAAACGGTAAATCCGGCTGGAGCAAAAATGTTTCAGACATATTCTCATAGTTGGCGCCCTCCTCTATGAACCACTGTGTCGATCTATTCGGAAGCCGAATCCGTGGCTTCCGCTCGACGTTGATTGAAGACTTAATGTCCGGTCGCAGATGAAAGAACTCTGAATATAGTGCAGACTGCCGTAAATGCACACAAAGCGTTTTATAGCACAGCAACTGCAGAGCCATTGTTTTGTTCTCCTCGTAGGTGCGGAAATCTGAACAGTCTTTGCACTGCGGACAACTGGGCCACAGATTTTTACGTCCACGCATGCACAGCCGGCAAACATGGTGGCCACAACGGCGTCCCTTCGGCTTGTAGGGATCATTGAGCAGCTTACAGCAGACGGCACACGACAGCAGCTGACGCAGTTCACCAATACCAGTATTGATCTCATGAATGCGACGGGTCGACAAGTTCGACGCGGACTTTAATGAGAGTAGCGTAATTTGTATATAAAGTCTTTGTGCCTCCATTGTGTAAATGGATGGACAATAGAAAAATATGGATAAACGTTTAATGACAGTTCCCGTTAGTCGGATACTGCGCTGGGCGAGCTGCTGCGTTTGCCGCCTGCCTTGTCGTAGCTGCACCGCGGTTCCGTTAAAACATGTTATTTAATTTCATTAGCTGTACGTTTTCACCGGCTTTCATCGAATTTGTTGGCTGGCGTTCCTCTAGCAATAGATGTTGTTGTTGTTGTTGTTTTCACTTAGCGGCTAAATACTTAGAAATACTATTCACGTGCAAAAAAAAATCACAAAAAAAAAACAAAAAAAAAAGATGGTTATGTATTCTAAAAGTTATTCAAGTCATTTTTAATTTTCACTTTGTTTTTATCAATTGAGGAGTAAAATTACCAAAGATAAATGGAACGCCGTGCCTGCGTTTTATATTCTTAGCAGTGCAATGTGACCGTTTCATGGCGACCGTCTCACTCATCGCTGTGAATAGCAGCCGAGCTGCCAACTTGATGAAAAAATACTAATATGCTAACAGCCACCGCGAGTATTTTTGCTTCAAACAACCGAATTCGTAATTGAACGTATCCGGGGCAGGGATGCATAATA